AGAATATATGGATGAGGAGAAGGAGGGGGTAGGGAAGAATATATGGATGAGGAGAAGGAGGGGGGAGGGTAGAAAATTTATTTATTAAGATTCAAGAAAAAATTTTGCTCAAAAATAAAATTTTTTAGAGAAAATAGATACATCCCAGATTTGTTCCATATTTGAAAGCATTATATTATGGCTGAAAGACTACTGTTTTTAGACCATATTCAATTTCTCTAAGCTAACCCTACCCCCTAATTTTCTAGAGTGGGTTAGATGCGATCTCAAGCAAAAACACGTCTAAATAAATACTCCTTCTATATACTCTATATTTGGATATAAACAATTAGTAACATGTTAAACTTAAAGGAAGAGATCACAAACAATAAAAATCACATTTTTGATTTTTCTTCAATCATTGTCAAGATAAGGAATGCTTGAAGACAAAACACAACAATAAAAAATAAATACTCGGATCGGTAAATTTTGTGTTTGCACCATTTTGTTCAGCTTTCAGGGCTCATCACGTGATACGTTTAAACTTGAGGCTAGTCGGTGCACTTTTAGAAAGAAAACTCTGGGGAATGGATTTTCATGTGATTTCTCAAATCTCCAGGCGTTGAAAACGATTTAGGGCAACACTTACACTGGTGGGGTTTTTCCTGAAACAAAAGAAAATTAAAAACATGAAATAGAAAATAAAAATGATTTCAATATTTTACAATTTTTTTGCCAACAAAAAATGCTCGTTTATTATTATTTTACATTTGCAATTTTCTCATGGGGATGAGGAGGGGAATTGTATTTATTAAGTTGAATTACCTTTAAATGTGTCATCCTGTGATAGTAAAGGTTTGAAGAAGCTGTGAAACATTTTCCGCAAGTTTTACAAATATGAGGTTTCTCCCCGGTATGGATCCTTCTGTGCGTGTTCAAACTACTGCTTGTTGAGAATCCTTTGTTGCAGAAGTCACAAACATACGGTCTCTCCCCAGTGTGTATTCTCACATGTCTCTCCAGAAGACTGGGACGATCAAATACTTTTCCGCATGTATCACAGGGTAACATTCGCTTAGATTTGGGTTTAGAGAGAACAGACATGGATCTGTCAAAATGTTTAAGTCCGAAAATGTGTTGTTCCTCGTCACTAAATCGGAAGGATTCGGGAGAGGATCGGTCGTCGTCGGAGATTTTGTCAAATCCGTCACTTCTCGGAGACTCACTGCCTAGAGATAGGTTAAGCTTGTTCACGGGTTTCCTGGTTAGGTCCATGGGTAGTTCATCAACAGCCCTCTCCACATACTTGTTGTATAGGGCAGAGCGGAGAAGGAGCAGGGTTGGGTTCAGGAATATATGATGTAGCTCCTGGTATACAGCTAACAGTTTATCTCCTTTGATGATAGGTTTGATGACGGAGAAGATTGGCTCTCCAGTAGGTCCTGTTCCTACCATCATGTTGGTCTGATAGCTGGTGGGGGTGTGGGGAAGGAATCTAACCCAGTTGCAGATATTCTCCTGGTCTACCAACCCACTGTGAAGTCTGGGATCTCCTTGAAGGATGAAGTCTCTTGGTGGTTCCTGAGAGTTTCTCACAACTCCTTCCCAGGGTAGAAACTGGGATCCCACAGCTATATCCTCTGCGGCGTAGAGCTCTCCTCCTTCTACAACTATTTCCTCAGGAATGAGTAGACGTTTACCCATGTTAACCTTATGGGAAAATCTGGGAAATTTCTTCTGTGAAAAATCTGGGAAATTTTCTCAAACTGGCGCGCGCTGGTCTAGAGATGTTGACGCTAGGTTGGTCCAGCAGAAACTGACCAGGGAGTAGCGTGGGACTATAGGTACCCCCAGCTACCGGTAGCATCTTATCACGTGATCATCAGCCTGCGTAGATACTAGAACATATGCGTAGACTCTCCAGTTCTGCGTAGAGGACATGAAATATCGCGTGCTCATTTCTCTTCTGTAAGAGTCGGTTCAACTTCTTGATTTTGTTTGCATTTGGGTAATTTATCTTTACAGAAAAGAATCTAATTCATTTCTTTCAAAAAACATCGGAAATTAGGTAGTTTTTTGTCTGGACAAAACAGAGGAATCTATACAATAAAGCATGCGGGTCTGAGACCACCTGAGATTTAAAGGATTGCTCTGCAGAATTTGTTATTAATTTATTTCAGATATCTAGAGGCAAACCTAGATTTAGAAATATAAGAAAAAAATACTTTGGAAAAATTGATCTAATTATCTCTGTGTAAAGTTTTTAATGGTTTTCCTAAGCATAAATTTTCTAATTGACCAGGTTTAGGTCGGTGCACATACATTAGCACGGTGTGTGGTCGTTTATATTCTAGTGTTAGTATGTCAAGTTTAAATTTTCATACAAAATTCAAATTATAAAAAAACTGATGGACCGGGGGTACAGTAATATAAACCTGCAAATTATACCATTTATTCACTACTCTCATTCATTCTTTCATTCATCCATTTATCCATACTTTTTACTTATCCAATCCTTTAATTCATCCTGATACAATACTTTCATCCTTCCTTATACAATACTTTCATCCTTCCTTGTACAATACTTTCATCCTTCCTTATACAATACTTTCATCCTTCCTTATACAATACTTTCGTTCATCCTTATACAATACTTTCATCCTTCCTTGTACAATACTTTCATCCTTCCTTATACAATACTTTCGTTCATTCTTATACAATACTTTCATCCTTCCTTATACAATACTTTCATTCATCCTTTTTCAATCCTTTCGTTCGTCCTTTCACAATTATTTCATTCATCCTTTTACGATTCTTTCATTCATTCTCATCTAACCGTTTTATTCATCCTTTTACATAGTTTTCATTTATCTCTCATTTTTCTTAAAACGTCTAGAATTTTAACTATTTCATTTGATTACTTGATGTATCTTGTGTTACATAAATCTATAAATCCAAAGACCAGAATTTAAGATAATCAATTTTTCGAGAGAAAGGATTCATCATTGATCAGACTAAGGTTTAATGAGTACTGTTGTGAATCAGATATACAATGCATTCTATGCATGGATGGTTACATCAAAGAACGTCCACGCTCCCTTTCACAAATTCTAAACAAAGCAGGGATCCTAATTTACCCTTGATAACATTCCATGCTTAGCTTCTTAGGAAATTGTTCCCGACCCCTGATTGTGTAAAAGCTTGAAATTTCTAAATTAGATTGGAGGGGGGGGGGATATAATGGTTGCGTTGCTAGGGGGGGGGAGGAATCCTCGGTATGTTTATTAGACCAGGAAGTCACTGAATTCCAGTCTTTTTATAATAAACAAATGTTGGTAAAATTGCGCCGTGATTTGTTTGAATATGGAAATTAGTTTTCTTTGTTTACAAATTCAGCCTTTTTTAAGAAAATAATGTATTTTTTGTTGATTATTTTGGGAATGATATATTTCCCTGTTTAAAAATCCCAAAATGAGTTTGATCTTTAACCCGCGGAGTAGCTCTAATATTTTCAACCATGATACATGCAACCTGGTCTAACTATTCGTACCAATACTTTCTAAGAAACACCCAAATTTAAACTAAATGACTAAGTTTGGAAAAATGTCAATTTGTTGGGGAAAATATTCGTCTTTATGTTGTTATTCTTGGGTTTCTATGGAAAATGATAAAATAGCAACGACACCAATTTAAAACACTACGCTTAAACGTTATCATATCAAACTTTTAGACATGTTATTTCAAAAAACATTTCCCATTTTATTTTTAATGATCTATATTTATATCTATTTATCTAGCACTTTTGAATATATTTATCGATCAAGATATATCTTATACATGTATCTATCTACCACATAATCTTTATATCTATCTGTGTGTGTGTTGAGAAAAGAAAATAAGGTTTTTAGATCTGTTTTATTGGACCCGAATCCTACAGTATAGTATACCCTCTACTCTCTACACGATATGTTCAATACACTGCTCCGGGCATATACTCCAATACAGGCTAATTGTTCGGGTACAGGGTAACCCAGAATATACTCCAATACAGACTAATTGTTCGTGTACAGGGTAACCCAGAATATACTCCAATACAGGCTAGTTGTTCGTGTACAAGGTAACCCAGAATATACTCCAATGCAGGCTAATAGTTCGGGTACAGGGTAACCCAGAATATACTCCAATACAGGCTAATTGTTTGGGTACAGGGTAACCCAGAATATACTCCAATACAGGCTAATTGTTCGGGTACAGGGTAACCCAGAATATACTCCAATACAGGCTAATTGTTCGTGTACAGGGTAACCCAGAATATACTCCAATACAGGCTAATTGTTCGTGTAGGTACAGGGTAACCCAGAATATACTCCAATACAGGCTAATTGTTCGGGTACAGGGTAACCCAGAATATACTCCAATACAGGCTAATTGTTCGTGTACAGGGTAACCCAGAATATACTCCAATACAGGCTAATTGTTCGTGTACAAGGGTAACCCAGAATATACTCCAATACAGGCTAATTGTTAGGATACAGAGTATACCAGAAATGCGGACATTCTCTTTAAACCTTGCAAAAAAGTGTTTGAATATAGCCTGCTGCACGAGCTGCACTCTGCAACTCATTGCACAACTCTCCAATATTGAAAGCTGTTCAATACACTTTCTCTAATAGTCCTTAATTGATGCCAATTGATGCTTTTAATTGGTTTTCACCTTTAATTGTGCTAATGAGAGGTAGAGGAGAGCTAGGTGGGGAGGTATAAATTGTTTTTATGGGCGACAGACTGTTTAGGATCAAAAATGAAATTATTCCTATTTCTCTATTGCAGGCTAAGACTATTGCCAAAAAATCTTTAAAATTATTTCACTCTCTATTATTCTAAAAATATTTTGTTTATGACAATTGCTTTTATAATTTATCGTAGAAATTTATTTAAAGTTTCACGTACTGTATGGCTGTATTCAATGTAAAAATTAAAACTCAAAAATTATTAAATTTTAAAATTTGCGACAAGGAGAAAAGATAGTTTGTGAGAGGAAATGGAAGAGAGAGAAAAAAAATTGAAAAAACAATTTCATAAAAATGTATCCTAGTACTTCACGGTGGACTAGTGTCAATTTGAATTCGAACCGGACCGAACCCTTGTACTGGTCTTACTGACGCACGGCACGTACTGGCCCGACCTCTTGTACCGGCCTTACTGGCTCGACCCTTTTCCATGCTGGCTTGGTTTTAACTTTGATTGTGCAGCAAGACTTTTTACGGTTCCCGGTCCATCATAGGCCAGTTTACTTATCCCAATAGTTTAGTTTAGTTTGACTTGTTCGTTGAAAGAAAGAGAAAAATATCAAATATCAAAATTGAAAAAAACTAAATCCAAATAATATAACATGGAGAGAATAATATACAGATACAAAAAGAGGACAGGGGGGGTCAAACAACAATATGACATTTCTTAGATTGCACCCTTTAACATTGCATTTAAACTTATTATTTCCATTATTTAAACCACAATTTCTAAAGGAGATTCATTTCTAAAAATATTATTTCAGAAGTTTACAAAAAACTGGTTTTCTGAGGTTGTCCTATAGAATTAAAAGCGTAAACCAAAAGACTCAATTGAAACAGAACTTCTCGTTTTATTCAGCATTTTGTTATTTTTGCTTTGTAAATTTTGAAAGGTAGAAAAGCTAAACTTTCATGATATTTTTTTTATTTATCCAAACAGATATATTTGATTAGAATTGAACTTAATATAGACTACTTTACATATGGACGAGATAAAAGACGATGTTACCTAGATATTGATGTGTTATAAGGAGATAAAAGAAGATGTTACCTAGATATTGATGTGTTATAAGGAGATAAAAGACGATATTACCTTGATATTGATGTGTTATAAGGAGATAAAAGACGATGTTACCTCGATATTGATGTGTGATAAGGAGATATTGATGTGTTATAAGGAGATATTGATGTGTTCTAAGGAGATATTGATGTGTTCGATCTAAGGAGAGCTATTTAAGAAAAAAATGGTTTTCTTTGTTTGTCGTTGGCTTATCTTGACTCTTTTGTGTAAATACTGTTCAATGTCCAATACAAGTGCTCATTTTCAAGCTAAATTTTTTTTTAACAAAGCAGGGAGCGAATCCAAAACTAAATTTTTTTTATCCCTGACTAATCTCATGTTTTACAGATTGCTGAATCGAACATTGGGAAAAAGATTCCAAACCTCTATGACCCGCCAACACCTCGACCTCCGTCATTTGGAACTGCTCTACCAACTTCGAACCACCAAAGTTCCAACCAAGATCCGTCCCAGGAACAAACTAGCTCACACAACACCAGGACACAAGATTAATGGTTGGAGAGAAGAAGAACTGAGAAATAGACTTTATATGAACAACCATGTTAGGCTGAAGATGGATATTTCGTGTGTTCCATATTTCAAAGTTCTCTGTGGAATAATTCCCTACAGAGCTTCTTCAAAGAATGCTGGAATACAGCTCTAGAAGGAGACGTTTCGTCAAGTCAACAAAACCCTCTAAACTAAACCAGTGAAGTGAAGAGTTAAAAAGCGAAAAGCATTTTTAACTTTGAAATTTTGGAAATTGTTATGAAAAGCTAACTTTGATTTAACTGATACTTTCACTTTGAATCTCAATCATTTGCCAAAATACATGCAGAAAACCGTTTATCGTCCAGTCTAAGCAAAAATCATTTATATTATTTTTATTATTTTTATATTTTATATTCTATTTATCTGCGAATACTATGTACCCTAAACTTCTGAGCTG